TCCATTCTCAAACCTCCCTATTTGCAAAATTATCCTGAAAGCTTATTCTGAAATCCTACGATAATTCCTACCTTTATCCTTTATCCCACTTACCACTTTTTCATATTTTTTATGTTTATTTATAGAGAGATTGATAGAGAAAGAGGGAGAGAAAGGCAGGTGAAGGAGAAAGAAAGAAAGAGAGAGAGAGAAGCAGAGGCGCGGAGACGGGGGGGAGGGGGTATGGGGGGATAGGGAGACCGGCTGTTGATTCTCGTTATGAGATGGATGAATATTTAAGAGAGAGGGAGGGAGGGAGGGTGGAAGAGAGAGAGAGAGAGAGAGAGAGAGAGAGAGAGAGAGAGAGAGAGAGAGAGAGAGAGAGACAGAGACAGAGACAGAGACAGAGAGAGAGAGAGAGAGAGAGAGAGAGAGAGAGAGAGAGAGAGAGAGAGAGAGAGAGACAGAGAGAGAGAGAAGAGAGAGAGAGAGAGAGAGAGAGAGAGAGAGAGAGAGAGAGAGACAGAGAGAGAGAGGGGGGGGGGGGGGGAGAGTGAAGAAGGGAGGAAGGGAGACAGAGAAAGGGAGAAAGAGAGAGAGAGAGAAGATAAAAATGAAAGAGAGAGGGGAAGGGAGGGGATGACACGGCAAAAGATATTTATAGTTCACCAATCCTCATGAACGCCTTGAATAAACTAAGTTAAGTTTTTTTTACCACCCTGGCTATCAGCTCAAGCGTTAACAATCGTGATTACAGTTTTATATATATATTTGACACAGTACAGTATTCTGTGACTACTGTGATTGTACATGGTAAAATAGAAATAAAATTTTCTTTGTGTGTGTGCGTGTGTGTGTTTTACATAGTAAATTTAGATAACAGTACGAGTATATCTGACAATGTATCAGATGAAATGAAAACATAGTTCTTTATACCTCATGTTAGGTGGTCTGAAAGGCTGTATTACATGACATTCCGAGATATAGTGCTCAAGCGTTCACTTTCTTCGTTTCACAGTCTACATCTAGATTCATCTGCACTTCTTGCACCGTGCAGTTGCCAGTACACTCTGTAACCTAAACGTAATATGGCAATAACCACGTCACATTGTCAGGTTTGACTTCGATGACGCCCATAGGAAGGCTTGCTTGCTTGCTTGCTTGCACTATGGTACAGCTTTCAGGCCTTTGTGTGTTTGTCAGATCTACTAGTTCTTCTATTCATACAAAGTAAATGTTGCAGTTGCGTTCTTTTATATGAGTTACTTTACGCTTAATGCAGTTCTCTACTTCCTCCTCGCCACCTGCTTTGAAGGAATTTAGTGACCGAAGAGCACTTTGAGAGTCACAGAAAACTACTCCAGAGCCCCGAGAATTCCGTTGCAAGGATTATGCTTGTCAACTCCGATTGTGCAGTGCTGGTCCAGTTTTGCACTCTCATATTAACTTGATATAATAAGCCATTTTTGTATATAGCACAAGCACAACAAGATTTGTATCCAGACTGTACGGATCCGTCAGCGTAACACTTGTATACATCATCGCCTACAGATTCTGAGTGTTCCTTTGGGGTTGCTAACGCAATTTGCTTTAACACGCATTTATGTACACTGCTTTTTTGTGGTAGACATGTAAGGTACACGATCAATGTTGATTTTTTCCACGGTGGAAAGGATCAGTCTTTTGGTATTTTATTAAATGAGACATTGAGCTTTGTAATGTTCATTGGCGCGCGCGTGTGTGATTAATCACGTTTTTCTTGCGTGATTTTATGTTGCATTTGCTTTTAGAAATCTGAAAGATACACGGGTTCCCTCAGAGCTCTGACCTCAAATATCGTTTAAATGAACATTATTCTATCAGAGATAGATGGTAAGTTTAGTTCTGATATCATGGTCACTATCCTTGCTGTTCTCGGGGCGCCGAGGATAACCCTCATGGCTTCATTTTGCACTACCTCCAAGCTATTTATTTCTGATTCCTTACAATGCAACAAGTACAGTGCACAGTAGTCTACAACTGACCTTATAAAAGCCAAGCAAAACAGTCAAGCGAGCTTTATGTTGATGTCATGTTCTCTTTCGAAAAGAACTTTCAACGGTTTCAATCCCTCACAGAGACTCCTCTTCAGGGGAAGGATCAACAGGCCTGCATCACTTACGTTCACCCGAGATATTTATACTAGGTATGTGTGTGTGTGTGTGTATGTGTGTGTGTGTGTGTGTGTGTGTGTGTGTGTGTGTGTGTGTGTGTGTGTGTGTGTGTGTGTGTGTGTGTGTGTGTGTGTGTGTGTGTGTACTCTTATACACACACACACACGTGTCTGTGTGTGAAATAACAAGAATAACAACAATAACAATGATAATTAGGATACTGATAATGATAATAGACATGATAATGATGACAGTACAATAACAATGATGATCACAGTGATAACGATTACTTTGATAATTACGGAAGTGGGAGATATACCAAACATGATAATGATAATGATTATAATTCTGACACAGAACACCCAACA